GTCTCTTAGGGAGAAAGTATGAAATGAGAGAAGGAAGAAGTGAAAGGGGTCCGGACTTTATGACCTGTTTTTGAACTGTAGCGTTCTTCCTCACAACTCCAACCCCACTCTCTAGGGCAACACCGAGCAAATGACCACCTGCCTTCATCCTCTGGTACTTAGGGCGAGAGCTTTGTTTTCCAAACCTGTCCCCATCTCTTCTGAGCCCTCCTTAGATTGTCAAGGTCTCTCTTGAACTTTGATATCCCCAACCACGTCAGTACTCAAAGCATGCTCCTGCTCACGTAAGGTAGGTAGGGCATCATGAGTCTAGCATCCTCCTAAAACCAAAGCCCAAAGTATGTTAGTTCATCTCATGAACAAACTAGGAAGGCTAGGGGATGATATCTCAAGACAGTCCACCCCTTTACACGCTGCACAGTCCCTGAAGCCCTTCTACTCATTGTTGGGCATATAAAATAGCTTTTCTTGCTCCATTTAAGGACCTTGTTCCACTAATTACTTTCTCTCTGGTAACTAGAATGGTTTTCTTATAGACTCTTCCCGTACAGATTTGAAGATATTCACATATCTGTATCTCCATTTAAAAAATTATCAATAGGTTATTAAAATACATAAATTTATATCATATCTCATAGTCAACATATCATTAGTTATTCAACAAATATTTGTGAAGGTCTTCAATGTGTAAGGATATGTTTTCGGCAACAGTTTATAAAGATGAGTGAAATGGACGCCCAGCAGATGGGAGCCGGTGCCACTCAGTGTAGTACCTCAGAGTGTCATGCCACCATGGACCTCCTTCTATACCAGACTGTAGAGTCACTAGTAATGTTCATCATCAATTTTTATAATGAAATAGTATGTGATAAATACATAAGGGGACTTCAGAAAAGTTTGCAGACCCAGAAGGATCTTATTTGGAACTACTAAGTGAACTGAACTTGACCTTAAACACACCTGTAGCAGATAAAAGGAACTGAACTACCCTTGCTCTTAATGCTAAAATACCCAAGTGTAAGGAGAAAGAGATGACTACTTCAGTTCAAACCTCTTCCTCTGAGAGAGCCCAATAAAAGGCAACTCAAGATGACCGTGCATCTGCTATTTTTCTACTCTCTCTGCTCTTTTGTGACACATCTGAGTCCTGCAGGCACAGTTCTGCCTTTGAGAATGAGTGTGATTGAACGTTTTTCCTGACCTCCAATACTCCTTGTCTGTGTAGTGTCCAGTCATTTATGTTTTTAATCTATACAAATCAACTATCCAAGTATTGGGGTCTAAAAAGCTCTCCTATACATGCATACTCTCCTTTTCTCAGCAGTGTTTTAAATTCTATACCACTGGCTAAATTAATGGTACCATCAATAGAGTTTCCATTTGCCCCATAGGGGTGGTTTAAAATGTTCCCCCAATAAAATAATAGTGATGTCTCTGAATGGACCAGGGACATATATTAATGGGTATTGAATTCATACTTAAGCAAAGTGCTAATCTAAGAACAATCTGTTCTTGTGACATGACTGTACTCACTACTTGCCCTCATGAAGATGTGGGTGCTCTAGCAAAGTGTAGTGAAGAAATCAGCTGGTGCCTGGAGAGCAGAAAGAATAGCACCTGGCCTGTCTTCAGACTTGAAGTTACCTAAGCAAGGGCATCAGTTAACTCCCCGTGGCAGAAACACGAACCGATGTGATACAAGAATTATCAATAAAATTCTAAGTATCTGGTGTGCAGAAAGCTATGGGTGACAGTGAAGTCCCAAAATCCATTTTCAGGACCTCCACATGGATCCAGCCTCTGGGCAGTGTTTGGTTCTGTTGGGCAAAGGGCAGGTGTAGGTCAGACCAACTCAATGGGACCTAACAGCAACATCCCGTCTGGTCATTGGCCAGACGTGGGAGAAGCCTGGCTATCGCACGAGTGCGTTGGGAAGTGGACTCATGCAGGTGTAGTCAGGTTAAAACCTAAAAGCTGATCATTTGTTTTCCCTTTTGACCAGCTTTAAATTTGTTCTTTTTTATTAGTATTATTTTTTGCTTTGTTTATTTCAATATTACTGTTAGATTTTTGTTGTTGCTTAGTTTTTGTATGTTTTGCTTTATATAAAATCTAGGCTGCGTAAATTTCTAGAGAAAGTAATCAAATTAATAGTTTCTCTATTCTATAATAGTTCTAGAGAAAGTAAACTGATTAATATGACAGGGAGGTTGGGGGAAATGGGGAGCTAATAATGAATACAAGGAAGAAGAAAACATTCTAAAATGGATTGTGGTGATGATTTTTTTAAAAACCATTTTTGGGGGGCTCATACAAGTCTTATCACAATCCATACATACACCCATTATGTCAAGCACATTTGTACATTTGTTGTCATCATCATTCTCAAAACAGTTGCTTTCTACTTGAGCCCTTGGTATCAGCTCCTCGTCTTCCCTATCCCTCCCCCACCCTCCCTCCCTCACAAACCCTTGATCATTTATAAAGTGTTACTATTTTTTCATGTCTTACACTGTTCGATGTCTCCCTTCACCCACTTTTCTGTTGTCCGTCCCCCAAGGAGGGGGTTATATGTAGATTGGGATTGGTTCGCCCTTTCTCCCCACACCTTTCCCTTACTCTCCTGGTATCTCTACTCTCATTGTTGGTCCTGAGGGGTTTATCTGTCCTGGATTTCCTGTGTTTCCAGCTCTGATCTGTACCAGTGTACATCCTCTGGTCTAGCCAGATTTGAAAGGTAAAATTGGGATCATGACAGTGGGGAGAGGGGGGGAGCATTAAAGAACTAGAGGAAAGTTGTATATTTCATTGTTGCTATACTGCACCCTGACTGGCTCCTCTCCTCTCCAGGGCCCTTCTGTAAGGGGATGTCCAATTGCCTGCAGATGGGCTTTGGGTCCTCACTCCACACTCCCCCTCATTCACAATGATAAGATTTTTTGTTCTTTGATGCCTGATACCTGATCCCATCAACACCTTGTGATCACACAGGCTAGTGTGCTTCTTCCATGGGGGCTTTGATGCTTCTCAGCTAGGTGGCTGCTTGTTTATCTTCAAGCCTTTAAGACCCCAAATGGTATATTTTTTGATAGCCGGGCACCGTTAGCTTTCTTCACCACATTTGCTTATGCACCCGCATTGTCTTCAGCAACTTTGTCAGAAAAGTGAGCATCATGGAATGTGTGGTGATGATTTTACAACTTCTTTTAATATGTGTAAGCCAATCAATGAATTGTAGGATATTGAATGATATGTCAATAAAAAGTCAAATCTTTTAGTTAAAAAAAAAACCCTTTAAAATGGAAGGGGAAAATAATTTGTGGAAAATTTCCATTATCTTTTAATTCCATTTCCCATGAATTCTATGATGCCCCCTCATGGTTATAATTGCTTGAATTGAACATTTCTCAGATTATATGAATACTAAAAACAAAATGTATAAAATATTTCTGCATTGAATTGTAACATTAATAGCTCTAACATTACTAGTAACTGATGAGGCACTTTAACATTTTAAAATTGCTTTTAATTGCTAATTTGTTCTCAAAAACATACATATTGATATGGGTTCACAGATCATAATTACCACTATATATGGCTAAAACACCAGCACATTTGACAAAATCAGCAATTAAAAAACTACAGGCAATCATGAAAATGCGTGTGCTTATCACATGTGTCAATGAAACCACTTGGTTGGAAGAGTCATAATGACTGCTCGGACCGGAGGGCATTAGAAAGTTCAAAAAGCAAATCAGCACAGAATTTTAGCCTTGTAGGTATATTTCTGGTCTTAAGGGGAAAAAATGTTTTATTAGAATAGCACTAGTGAAACATACAACATTCTTCCCCCCACTATCATGATCCAATTCTACCTTACAAATCTGGCTAGACCAGAAGATGTACACTGGTACAGATCAGAGCTGGAACCCCTCAGGACCAATAATGAGAGTAGAGATACCAGGAGAGTAAGGGAAAGGTGGGGGGAGAATTGGAGAACCACTCACAATGATCTACATATAACCCCCTCCTTGGGGGATGGACAACAGAAAAGTGGGTGAAGGGAGAAATTGGACTGTGTAAGACATGAAAAAATAATAATTGATACATTATCAAGGGTTCATGAGGAAGGGTGGGTGGGGGAGGGAGGGGAATAATGAGGAGCTGATACCAAGGGCTCAAGTAGAAAGCAACTGTTTTGAGAATGATGATGACAACAAATGTACAAATGTGCTTGACATACAATGGATGGATGTATGGATTGTGATAAGAGCTGTATGAGCCCCCAATAAAATGATTTATTTAAAAAAAAGAAAAAATGTTTTATAACTAACTCTAGGGATATTTTTATTAAAAATCATGTATTTCTGCTGAAATCCTGCACTGAAATTTTACAGACTGTCTTTTGGGTGTCATCCTAACTGATCTTGTCACCAACGCCCTAGGGACACCTCTGCCTATCTGTCACTCACACTGAACCACCCCCACCACCCCCGAGGTGGGCGTGGTCCACTATTCTCTTCCTGAACCCTTCCTCCCCCATCGACCTTCTTGGTTTCTGCTGGGTCTCTTCTTCCGGGTTTCCCCTCTGCTTTGAACCACTCCCTGGCACTCAGCATAGACGCTTGTTTCCATCGTGTTCGTTCTCCAGCTGTAGAATGTGCCTTCTCCTCTTCTCACTCCGCACCGTCTACAACAGTATCTCTTGCCTTCTCAAGACTTTGTCCCTCATCTACCAACAAGCTGCCCCAGCTCTGAATAAGCAGCTGCCTCCCCAGTGCAAGCTCAACCATTCAGATACTAGCGGTGTCACGGTGCTCCGTCCTCTAAAGCCTGTTTGCCCTTCTGTGCCTCCCGGTTCATTCTGTGCCCAAGCCCAGCACCTGTAAGTCGCCAGGTTTCTGTAAATTCTAGCTCCTTGTGATCTCCTCAGTAGTTTAATTTTCTCAACCCTGAAGGTCATCTCTTTGGACTGTGGCTATTTGTCACCCCCATTATTGCAAGAATCTCCTATCCAGTGTCCTGTCCTGAGTCCTCTCCCGTGCACCTGCAGAGGACCATCCACGCGGCAGCTAGAGAACTCGGTCTGCTCCGGCCTATCCTCTCTTCTGCTGCTGCTGCTTCACTTTCATCCTGGTGGTGGTTCTTTTTCTTACTTCTCTTTGTCCTTAAAGTTTCCCACTCACGAATCAGTTTTTCTAGGAAGACTTCCCGTCTGCTCCATAATGCCCTTTTTCTGTGCACCCCTTCATGTCATCCTGCCCACTAGTCTATAAACCATTGGAGGTAAGGACAATGCGTTGTCTGTGTATTCTAAGAGCATAACATAATGGTACGCACCTGGGGGACAGAGGGAGGGAGAGATGTTTTTAATGATAATGATAGCTAATAAAGCATTGTGCCTCCTGTCCTACTTAAATGAATGTCAATTATGAGGAATGCTGCAGAGCCGGGTAAGGAGGGAGAGGGGGCAGCTCCTGACCATGAAGAATTTTACCACTTGCTGAGCTGAGACTGTGCAGGTGGTTGGAAAATATGTTTAAGAGAACTGTTGTTATCTCTCTTTTATGGTCCCATCATCGATGGTGGTGGCAGGTCTACAGGTGCTGGTTCAGAGACAGAAGGAGCTGGGGGCAAAAATGGCAAGAATTGGAACTGATGAGTCGATTATTTTTAAAATAAGTTTTCTCTCTCTCCCTCTTCCTCCCTCTAGGGACACTGTGACCTTATTCCTTATAGTCACCCAACTGGGCTTCTGCTGTGTATACATTGTGTTTCTGGCTGATAATTTAAAGCAGGTAAAATTTCCAAGAGAAGATGGGAAGAATGTGGATATATAAAAAGGGGATCCTCTGCTAACCTTTTCACTAACAAATTGCTTTTGCTCTCTGATTCTACTGTCCTTATCATGAAAACAAATGAGGTTGAGCCAGCCTCCCCTCAGTCCATCGCTCTGTGGGTGCTTTGGCCACAGTACCTTTGTGCAGGGTCTTGGGCCTGCTCACAAGGCTGGTCTCTACAGCTCCAGCCTGGAAGGAGTCTTGCATTTCTCAGTCTGCGTGCCTTGGAATTTACTAGCCCTAACTCTTATAAAATTAACATGAATTTAAAAAAAAAGATTCCGAGTCTCTTTGGGGTAATCTTCATGTACCTTTAGTAGCCTAATCTATGGCTTAATGGCTATCTTCCCAGGAACTTCTTCGAATCTAACCTAAATGTCACCTTGCAATAACTTAAGGTGTGTGTATGGGGAGTGGAGGTGGCAAGGGGGCTGTAATGACAGAGAACTTCCTTTGTCAATCATCACTTTCAAAAGCTCATGGAAAAATTCCATATCATTTAATTCCATAAACTTTTTGAAGGTCCCTCACACACTGAAGAAAGGAAATTCTTCTTTGAGATTTCTTTTCCTGATTATTAAAGTAATACCATAAATTAGAAAAGGGCGGTGGCAGGAGGGGTGGTAGTATACATTCACAGTTAGCTACTGTTCTGTGTCAGGTATGGTGTCAGGTGCCTTCAGAACCTAGCACCTTGTAGGACGGAGGAGAACAATGCCTAGGCTGTCATCTTTACAACCCATCAGGATGAGTTGCACGCCCTTCTACAGCAAGGCGTTTAATGTTCATGTGGAGCTCTGGGTAAATGCTTGGCTGCTGACCTAACCGTCGGGAGCTCTCCTCTGTTCTACAGGGTTCCCACGAATCCTACTGGAAGGCAACTGGCTGCTTCTGGAATCTTCTGAGAAGGAGCCCTGACAGTGCGCTGTTGGCACCTGAGACCACAATGGTTCCGCACGGTTTCTAACTGAAGCCCCAGCCACAGCACGGGAGAAAAGGCTATCTGCTTCAGTACAGATTACAGCGAAGGAACCCCCTGGGGAGGGCTACTTGGTCACACTGGGTCGCTGTGAGTCAGAATTGATTCTATGACACCTCCCAGCAAATCTTCTACGACTCTGTTGACTCCCGTTTTGTAGAAGAGAATACTGCAGCTATAAGCTAGCTCTATAATGTATATGAGACCAGAGAGTCAGGATTAAAAGCCAGACCTCGGATGCCAGAGCTTACTTACATTCTTAAACACCGTAATATAGTCCTTTCTAAAGCAAACGCAATAAAAGAAACTTACCTCGGTTTTTTACTCAGGGCCATTTTTACTGTTTTATTTTTGGAGACATGGATGTCGCACAGCATTTGTCAGTTCACCATTTTTCAGGTTACCATTTAGTGTGTCAAATAGATGAGCCGTGTGTGGGCAGTCACTGCCCGTAATCATTACCAAGTTTCCCATTATCGTTAAAAAATAGTATTTCCAAAACAACAGCTCCTCCTTTTCCCTGGAGTGACTGATAACCCAAATGCTCATGGATATAGCATTTTAACCGACCATTCGTTGGCTAGCACTCTTCAATGTCCTGAGTTTTCTGACATCATTTTTAATAGATGTAGAATAATTCCCTGGATGGTACAAGCAGTTAAGGTGCTCAGCAGCTAATGGAAAGGTGGAAGTTTCAAGTCTTCCCAAAGACACCTTGGAAGCAAGGCTGGCACTCTAATAAAAACCAGCCATTGAAAATCCTGCGGAGCACAATTCTACGGTGCTCCACACCGCGACCTCGGGAGTAGGAAGGACGCAGCGGTGACTGGTTAATATTCTATCACAAAGCTAACCGTAGAGCAGCCAGGCTCGTTCCTTTGGTCCTTCCCCTTTCCTGTTCTGCTGGACCCTGTTGCCAGGGGCAGAGTAACCAGTAAGCATGCTAACTCCACAGCTGCTTGTATTAAGCAAGTAACGCACAGCCTTAATAGCGTTCGCTTGCTAATTTGTGTAATCTGGGTTTCACTGTGTCTCTGGTGTGGTGGGGCCCAGGTGAACTTGGGCATGGCAGGTTGGTGGGAAGGCATACTGGGATGTACCTTGTTTGTTAGGTAACCGAGTCCCCTGGCCATTGCAGTGAAGCTTCAATATGTGCATGTGTGCTCCCTTGTTTTCTTACCTGTTTCTACAAGTGGGAAGACTGGGTCAAGGAGTTTGATTGTTTGGGAGGTCCTGAAAACACCTTGTTGGATTGCTCTTCACACAGATGTTCTCTGCACGCCCCTGTTCATTGCTTGCCTAGAGACAAAGCAAGCACTATCCTGGGGAGTTTAAAAGCTACATGGGGTGTGTTCTAATGTAGGTAACAAGTTGCATATCAGCATAATGTTGAAGAGTTACATCAGGATCCTACTAGCAACACTCGGAGGTGTGGGTGCTAAATTACGAACTCAGCGGAAGAGAGGATCATTTCCTGAATGGGAAAGGGTAGGCAGGATCCCTGGAGCATGCATAAAGATGACCCACAGGAGGGTGCAACTGATCTGGGTGCTCAAAAGCAGATAGAGCAGTTGTGGGAGAAGGGAGTGAGTAGAATCCTGAAAACTGTGTGTCTAGGACTTGCTCACAAAAGGCAGCTTACACCAGTTGGGTTATAGAAGGTGTTGGCCTCCATGAGGAAGAGCCTGCGAGCTGAGTGATCAGTTAGTTGGTGAAGGACCTAGAATGCCTAGCCAATGTTCCCAGTGAAAAAAGATTTCCAGACAAGAGCATCTACTCGACCTCAGTTTTGCAAAACCAAAAGCTTAGAATACAAGCAATGTGGGATATTATACAGTAAATATACAGTTGAACATGTTCCAAAGTGTTATCATAGCTACCCATGGGTACGGATCAATAATGCTTTTCTGTTCTCTTCTTTTTCTTTTCCTGCTTTAGGAAAATAGAGAAAGCACAACATTTGTCAATCTAACATTTTTTTAACTTGTACAATTCAAGGAAACCAAGTCGTTCTGTGGTGAATTATATTGCTTACGAAAGAAGTCTCTTAACAGCGAGGTCCCCCAATCTCCACCTTTCCAAAGGGTGTTTGAAAATACTGGTAGGGTGTTTTTTGGTTTGTCATAAAGATTGCTAGATATTATAATTGCAAATTAAACCTTAATCATCCTCAGGCAAAGCCTGTACATAAACCAAAAGGCCGCTGTTCAAACAAGGGGAGACTGTGTCGTTTCCAATCGGGAAAAGTGTGCATTGAGGTTGTGTCTTTTCACAATACTTTCTCAATCTGTTTGCTGAGTAAATAATCCAAGGACGTGGATTTGCATAGGCGCTCAGCACCAGGATGGGAAGAAGACGCGTGGCCAACCTGTAACCTGCAGACGGCAGTTTTGCTTGCTGAGAACAAAGAGGACTTGAAACATTCACTGATTAAGAACGACTACAAGATCCTCAAACCTGGACCCGTAGACAACATCACGGAAACTGGAGACAAGATTGAAGGTGTCGAAAATGTCATTTTATTTGGATGCATAACCAATGCCCGGGAAGCCACAATCAGGAAGTCAAAGGCTACAGTGCATTGAGCAAGTCTGCTGCATAAGATCTCTTTAAAGGGTTAAAAAGCAAAGCTGTTGATTTGAGGATTGATCCAAGCCATAGTGGTTTTAATCATCTGCATGCAAAAGCTGGACAATAAATAAAGAAGATTCAAGAATTGAAGTCTTTGAATTATGATACCTGTGAAGAATATCGAATATCTCTTGGACTTCCAGAAGAACAAACCAATCTGTCTGGGAATAACGGCAGTCAGGAGGCTCTGAGAATTAAAGATGGTGGGGTGTCATCTCAAGTGCTTCGGGCATGGTCAGGAGAGGTCAGTCCCTAGAGAAGGCCATCATGCTCGACAAAGCGAAGGGTCAGTGACATAAAGACCCGCAATGAGATGGGTCAACAAAGTGGCCATAATAGTGGTCTCAAATGTGACAATCGTGAGGATGTTGCAGGACTGAGCGGTGTGTCATTCTGCTAGACATAGGATCACTATAAATTGGAACCAATTTGATGACAATGAACCAATTTATTTCCTA